ATATTATATGTCCGAATACTGACATATCTCATTTATACTAACCACCAGAAAATAGTGCTACTATAACCATTTTAGTAGTATTATGCTAACTCTGTTATCACTTATTGACTAATGTTTGTCACATCAACAATTTTAAGTCTGAGCTGTTCCAAGCCTTCTCGCCTTTTTCTTTCTGTCATTCCACTTTAATCTGTCCAAAGAGGGCTGTTTCATCAGTTAGCTGATGAATGGTTTTCACCTCGTAGTGATTAATAAGCACAATGTGGACAAAAGTACTGGGATACACAGGAGTTGCTAGGCCATGGAAACACATGCAATGAAGCTCCTAATACCGAGTTTTATGCTGATGTTGATGCCAGAAGAGGTTTGAAACTCAGTTGTTGGGTCAGTAGGACACCACGTGCTTTAATAGTTAGTTTCTTTGGTTCCTTTAAGCTTCCATGTTACAATAATACCACTTACAGCTGATTGTGTTATATGGAAGAAAAGTGAGGTCTTTTCTTCCACAAAGGTAAAATGTATGGCTAAGTGCTTAATTTTATATTCACGTGGTTCAAAGATGTGGCTCAATACTTTTGTCCATAAATTGCAAATGTATTAGATCATCACCCAATATAAGTTTTATGCCACAGCTGCACCAAAGCATTTTCCTGTAGATCTCCATCTACCAGTCTGTGGAAGCTCTCAAGCGAAAATGATATTTTTAATGCTATAATATAATTCTCGTTGTTATTCATGAATTTTCAGAATTACTGGTTTTAGAAAAAAAGCTTAAAAGAAATTTTTTTTTATTAAAATGCCAAATTACAGTTATTTATTTCTGAATGAAAAAAATCATTTTAGTGGTTGAATGTTTTACTTTCTAATTTCAAATGTGGGTATGAACATAAAATTAAACATATAAATGGTTTATTTGCCAAATAAAAAAACAACGATTTTTAGTTTCAAATGAGTTTTTGACAAATTTTTTGAATACTTGTGTTTTCTTGTTTTTGCGATAAGTACTCTACTACATTTGTTAAGCACTGTATTTGCTCTAGTGCAGATGTAGCCTTTGATAAATTGTGTGCCTACCTCCTGGATCGTGTTCTTCATTTGGATAGATGTTTGTTTGGATGAGGTCATTTTTAATCATTTAAAGGATTCAGTGATGAACCACCTCTCTGCCTTTTAATGTGGCTGAATTCACCGGTGATCATTCTTTGTTTGGTTTTTTTTTTATCAGAACCAACTGAACTGTTTGTCTGGCCACATTGGTTGTTCTTGTTTCTCTGTAGCAGACTTGTTTTATTTTTGCATTTTTGGACAGCCTGTTTTAAGTGAGAGCTATTTTGGCCAAATGGTACAGACTTCATAGCCACAGCTTCCAAATGCAAATGTGAAACTTCTTATCGTCACCATCTTTTGTATTCTCTTGTGAAGAAAGAGTGAAGGAACATTTCAACCTCTGCAGTCCCTGAAAGTTTATCCAATTTCTTACATTAAAACTGAAATTATTTAGGCACATAATTATCTTCATATAACTCTAACTTGAATGGATTTTGGCAGTCTAGAGTGACTGAAAAGAAATGTGACAGTATAATAACATATGAGCCTCCTTGTAACCCAAAGCTAAAATACTAACATAACCCAAACAAGATGAAAGGACCCACAATTTTTGCACCAGCTTTTGAGAACACTTTGTGCTGTTTTTACAGGTGTTGTTTATCTCTCTTGACGCAGGTGACAAATGCAAAAAAGGAAACATCTCTCAAGTGGTTTAAGGATGGTTTGGAGGTGACTCAGGTTGCGTATGATCCATCAACAGGGGTCAGCGTGCTTACTATCCCACAGGTATGCATAATGATTGTGTCCTGTTCTATTTTCAGATAAGGCAAGTATGAATCATCACACTGTAGCTGATGTAGAGAGCGAAAGGAGATAAACAGAGTGACAGCTGACATTTATAGGATTAAGTCTACATGAGTCTTAACCTTGAGATGAATCAAGATTCACCTTGAAGTGAGCCTTGCCCTGGAAATGCCTCTTAATCAAATATTTGGTTCTCACAGATATCACATACTAAATGGTGAATGTTCTGAATATGTTTAACTTTTACACAGTAGATGATTTTTTCCCCCCTCAGGTTACAAAGAAAGAGGCAGGCTCGTACAGAGCTGTGGTGTCAGACGGGAGAGGAGAAGATGTGAGCACCTTGGACTTACTGGATGAAGGTGATACTTGATTTTCTAGCCAAACAAATATTACTGCTTTTTGTGTTATTTGATTTATCATGGAAATTAGTCATTTAAAATAAAATATAAAAATCTATTTGAATATGGATGATTGTTTTTTTTAATTTGCAGAGTATGACAAGCTTCTCCAGCACCTGAGTAAACAGTGCGGTAAGTGACACGTATTCAGAAGAACAAGCTTGGTGAAATGTGCCAATGGCTTGTTTTCTACATCAGGTGAGCTGTGTCGGGATGGGGATAATACACCTGAAAGCCATGTTGATTAGCTGTTCCGTGCCCAGAATATTACTGTGCCGAGCACCCCAGATAACAAACACTTTGTTTTGAATTGCTAAAATATATCCAAAATGTGCTATTATATTAATCGAGAGTCCCACCCCCATACAGCGATATCAGCCAGCTCACTGAAGATTCAGAGCACCGGTGAAGGCTTCAAGCTCTACTGCTCACTTAAATACTACATAAGCTTCCTGAAGACCAGCTGGTACTTCAAGTGAGTTCACAAAGAGAACACTTCTCTGATCTAACATCCAATACCTGCTTCAGACATATAACTATTT